ACGCTCTTGGGTCATTCGTGACTTGTCTGGGGTTCAGATTTGAACCCGTGACTTTGTCGTGAGAAGTATGGATGCTAACTACTACGCCGGGGTAGCCCCCACAAATGAAAGGTAATTAAAAATAATGTGTACTTTCCCGTGCTTTTCTTACGGGAAAAGTAAAGTAAACGCTTTTTTTCATACGACCTATTGGAGAAAAAAAACATTGATATTTTATTTTTCTTGATTTGTTTTCCGTCTATCTTGTTTTCCGTGCTGAGCACCAATGCTACCGAGGCCAGGGAAGCAGCTCCCACACCTAGACCCTACCTATCGACCGATCAACTCATGAACCGAGGACCAACCTTTACTTCCCTTCCGAAGGAAAGCGTGATCAGAGATGTTATGCCTCAGACCATCCTGGCGGCGCCGACTGGGATTGAACCCAGGCCTGCTGGGGTGAGAGGTAATCACGCTCACCACTACAGCACCGGCACCGCTATAAAAAAAAATTTATTGTTTTTGTGTGTTTTATGCTTTTCATGGTTTGTAGACAGAGCGCATATTTTTTGATATATTTCCATGAGAATTTAGGCTTTTTCACACAACATATAAAAAAAATTATCGATGTTTTTTTTCGTTTTTGAGTTATATTTTTTAGGTTATCAAGTTTTCGGTTTTCGCTCAATACTCCTATGTGACAAGACTACCATGTGTCGTGACCATCTTACAGTCACTATAAATCAATGGAGACGCATGGTAACCCCCCCCCCATTTTTCGATCTGGTTGAACAACGATTAAAACAATGGACGAGTAAATCTCAGCTTTTATTCATTAAATTTGAAATCGTCAAACGTGTAATTTAAAATATCGAAACCTGCTCTAGTTGGTGATGAAAATTACAACAATCTTTAATCTATCAAGGTATTCGCTGCAGAAAACCACGCACCGAGTTAAATTTTTAGGTCAAAACGACTTCTGGATGGTGAGTTTAGTGCCCCTAAAACGCGATGTGGTTTGTAAAATCTAAATCCAATAATTTTTCCACCCCACAGGATATTTTTGGTGGCAAATACCTTCGCTGAGCACGGTGCTCTGTATACGCCATTTGTTTTGCATGTAGCAGTTCTATGGGCAACTTCGTATCACCGTCACTGTTGCTGTGAAGTTTATTTTGATTGCCTCTGAGCCAAAATGTGTTATGGTATATTCAAGTAGTTTGCTCTTCTTGAAATCATGTTCTTATCAGGCAGCTAACGCGAATCATTTGTTCACACCATGACGTGTTATCACTACACTTATTTGAACCTGTGCCGGAATGGGCTATTTGCCCTTGCTGCCATGAACTGCTGTTTGACATCAATCTTGCGACACCGCTTTTTAATGAAGGATTCCGCTAATAAGAGTAAACGTGGTTTTTCGAATGTTATTGAACGCGTTTTGCATGCTGCAATAATGGTTGCAATGATGATCGGACACTCAGAGAAAGAGAATTAAGAGAGCAGTGCCACGCCCAACGACGAATAAAAAATAAAAAAAACTCGACCTTGGCCAATGCCATATCGGATCGCCTGATGGTCGCTATGGGTATATCCTTCGCACACTCTCCAATCCATGTTAGCCACCAACGACGGACTGCGGACTTGTATGCTAGGCATTTGAAGCCTCCCACCGTATGATCATTTCCGTCCTCTTTTTTTGCAGAGCATGCACCTCGCTTGCTTCGTGCAGCCTCTTGCAATGTGACCTTTCTCTCCGCATTTCCTGCACATATCAGATCTGTCAGGGCCATTGCAGTTCCTCGCCCGGTGACCAAATCACATGCACTTGAAGCATCGCTCCAGTTGCTTGGTAACCCGAGGAGTGGCTTTCAGCGAGCACACTGACCACCCAAACTTGACCTTGCCCGTCTCCAACAGCTTGTTCGCTGCAACTGACGAAAGCCGTATCACCACCGTTTGCATGCCGCCATACGCCCTTCTCATCCGGATTTACAACCGGGACGTCTCTCAGATCGCAGTGCACTCTCAACACACTTCTCAGCTCCTCTTCTGTAGTGATATCGTCCAGATCCCTGCACTCGACCACTGTCTCCTGGGATAGGGCTCTTAGGCTCGCCCCTTCGCCAAGAGACTTTTCGACGAGCTCCTTGAAGGCTGAGCTATTGATCGAAGGGCCCTTCTTCAGCTCAAAGAGCATCTCGCTTTTCTCGCCGTACTCTAACGGAACTATCCACCTACACTCTTCTAAAGATCATTCTCTAGCTAATAAATTATCACACTTAAGTTTCATGTTAGCATTTCCAACCAATTCTTTTTTGTTTTTTTCTCCGTTTTTTTCCATTCTGTTGGGTCCCCCCTCCGGGCCGCTATCTCCACTCGTTGTATGTAGTCACCTATCATGATCCCATGGTTATCTATGAAAGAAGGGAGGCCATGCTAGGGTTGACACGGTCCTTCATGGGGGCCGTGTTCAGAACCAGATCAGCGTAAGTCAGGAATGTTACATCTGAGCCTACTACCAACAATCAATACGAAACTAACGATTTTAAATTTGCTCACTACTTGACTAGCCTATTGGTCCCAAGCAAACGATTAACGTACCCCATTCTAGTCGAAATTTTAGTACTACGCAATGTTTGTTTTGATTCGCTATGAAAGTTTGACAGATAAAATGAGGGGTTATTGGTTTTTCCTCTGTTTCGAGGGGTGAATCGATTAGCTTGGGACCGAAGAGAGTATCAGAACTGAGCCAAAAAGTTGAGCACGCTATTTCGGGACCTTCTAGTCTTAGAGTTACCTCTATGCTACTACTCACCAACCACCAATTGGTGACGAGTTTTGAACGTATCCGGAGGCCTGCCAAGGTTTTATCGGGACGGGGACAGCCGCACTATTAGCAACAATCAATTCGAAACTAACGATTTTAAATTGGCTCACTACTTGACTAGCCTACTGGTTCCAAGCAAATCGATTATCGTACCCAATTCTAGTATAAATTCTAGTACTACTCTATGTTTGTTTTGATTAGCTATGAAATTTTGACAGATAAAATGAGGGGTTCGTAGATTTTCCTACGTTTCGAGGGGTGCATAGATTAGCTTGGGACCGAAGATAGTACCAGAGCTGAGCCAAAAAGTTGAGATCGTTGATTCGGGACCTTCTGGTCTTAGAGTTACCTCTATGCTATTAGGCCACTCGCCATTTCAAGAAGGTGTCACCCTTCTTTACTCAGGGAGCAGAATAGCACGACTGTCAGCCCTGTAGCGTGGTATCCAATCCATAGTGCCGTGTCGTGTCCATAATTCCATGCCGTGTCCAGTATGCCGTAATTAGGATCTTACTGGCGTCGATCCTAATGTGCCGTTTGGCACTCCTGCGGGTTGACGAAGCATTTCGCACCTCATTCGCGTGCATTCTCCGGAAGGCAGAACGCCAGCACCAAGAAAAGCAATAAAAAAAAATACTGGCTTCTTGAGAGAGAGGCAAGCACCAAAAACAAGGGAAAAGAAAAATGTAATTAAAATTATCACTCGCGATGCCAAACATTTCTGGACCCGGATAAAAAATCAAACAACGCAGGTAGCGCCAAATCTTCTGATGCTTGCAATTTTGCAAACATGATGAATCATGTTTTCTTTCTAGATTCTAAAACTTCTCGGAAAGCGAGAAAACCACCAATCACACACGTATAACCGTCCGGGAGGCAGAGTGCCAGCGCTAATCCGGCAAATGCAGCCGAAAACTATGAAAGCAAACGCACGCACAAAACAGAGAGCAAACTTTAGACACAACCGTATCCGAAGGGGTTCGAAACTGCACCATGGGAAGTCATTCACATGTTTGCAAAAACTCGGCAATTTAGATCTTGTATTTTTTTTCAAAAAGGCGTTTTTGTAATTTATGGAAATTCAGCAGTTGGGATGGCAAAAAATTGGTAAAATAATATTTTTTACAATTTTCGGAAAAAATATATTTAACAGAACGAATCCAGCAAAAAAAAAAGAAGCAAACAATATTTAAGAAATTTGATGTTTTGAGATCAGGTCTGTTCAGTGTTTTTTTTCCTCTGTTTGGGACATAACACCACTGCGACCAGTAATTTGATCTATTCTAGATAGAGCTGGAATTAGGGCGTAACAGCTTTTGTAAACAATGACTTCCCTCGATGATTTCTCGGAAGTCATGGCTCTCCCTGGCAAATCGACATCACCATCGAGTAGAGGAAGACTTCTCCTACCCGATGGATATGTTGGTTTGTGTAGAAATCAACGAGAGAAGTAATTGTTTACAAAGGCTGTTACGTCCTAATTCCAGCTCTACATTCTTGCCTTCATCGATTCTAATTGAAAGGACCCACTATTTATACCCTTCGGAGTGTTGGAACACCCTCCAAAGGCGAGCCCCTTTGTCAGTCAAAATTGAATTCCCTAGCAACAAATGACCATGCATCAGAACCCTAGTCTTAACCACTTCAAACTAGGGAACAACGAATAGAAGATTAGGAATCACATAGGTGAAGACTAACTCATTTTTTCCTTGTTTAAAGATCATCCTCGGTCTAGGCAACCAGGTCCCTTATCACTATCAACAAGGCATAAAAAGTAACAAGGACTAAGATGTGTTCCTTTGATTACTGAAAAATCTTGTTCCCCTAGTTTGAAGTAGTCAAGACTAGGAATCGATGGTAGATCTTGCATCCCGTAATGTACCACGAAAAGGTGGTTTACCCACATTACGGGGCCTGTACAGTGGTTAGAATCCATGTTTCTCATGCTGAAGGTCCCGGGTTCCAATCGTATTCCTAGACAAGTCATGAAGGGACTGAAAAGGACTCAAGTGACTATAATAAACAACTAATTAGTTGCTCACTACACGGCCGCTGAGAATAACTCAGTGAAAGAGTTACTTTTACTCAGATGAATGATAAATTTCTAAAAACCTCGGTTACCCTGTACTAAGTTAGTCTCAGCGGTCGTGATATGATATGCAACATTCTAACGACTTTTTTTTTGGTACAGAATACTAAGCTCCATTACGTAGAAGCTGGAAACCGTAGCAACTCGACAGTGCTTCTTCTTCATGGCTTCCCCGACAGCTGGCTTGGGTGGCGTTATCAAGTAAGTATTAATAAAAAATTTATTTTGGAAAAAGCGTTAATTCTCCCTTAGATTTCAGAATTGTCTCAATACTTTCACGTGATTGCACTAGATTTGAAGGGATTCAACGACTCCGACAAACCACTGTGGCGCTTTGACTACACTCCGAAAAAAATTTGCGAAGATCTGCGCAAATTTCTGATAGCCATCAGCGCCAAGAGTGTTTCGATCGTAGGTCATGACTTGGGCGCCATCATTGGATGGACCTTTACGCACACCAACCCCGAAATGGTAGACAAGTTTGTCAGCGTTTCAACCCCCCATCCCAACCTCCTGTGGGATAACTTACCTCGAAATTCTCCATTCAACCGAAGATGGTTGGAATTTGTTCAGGTATTGTAGTTTTTCCTATGTTATAATTTCTAGATAGGTACTTAGTTTCTAATAATTATTTTCACCACAGTTGCCATATCTACCGGAAATGGAGATGCAACACAATGCGGAACGTATCCTGAAAAAGTGCTATCCTCACATGCTAAAGGAGAAGATGTACATTTCAGGAACTAATGGATCTGTGATAAACAATCTCATGGAGGCCTACAAGTATACGTTCAGCCAAACAGATGACTGGCGGGGTCCTCTCAACTACTATCGCAATTTCATGTTCTTCCGGATAAAAGACGGTGAAACTCTACAGTGTCCGTGCCTGATCATAACGGGAAATGAGGATCGAATATACAAGTTGGAATCAGTGGTGAAGAGCTCAGACTACTGCGAAAATTTTGTGATCAAAATCATTGAGCAATCTGGTCATGCACCGCACCAGGAAATGTCAACAGAATTCAACAGCACTCTTCTGAAATTTTTAATAGGTTGGTATTCCTGTTATTATCTCGTTGAGTATCCCAGTAAACTGATTAAACTATTTTTCTTCCAGGGAAGCGGATGTTTATGAGATCACCGGAGAATAACACACCGACTCCTGCACGAGGCCTTGTGGGGAGAGTTTTCGGGGGCTTTGGAGCTGTGGCAAACAACACAGTCAAGTTGGGCAACAATCTCAAAGAAGGCTACACATTTGCAACTGCTCTCAACAATGTACCAAACTTTATGTTGAAAAGCTAGGATGTCTGTTCATGTTCAGATAATTGAGTGTGAATCTTGTGTATGACTTATTTTTCTAGATTTTGTGTGGTGTATATTTTATATTTTTTAAATTGTTTTAAATTTTGATTAAAAAAATTAAAGTTGACTTCTCGTTGCTTAACAGTTAGTCGCAATTTTTTTTGTAACTGTATCACTATGTCCTTTGCTGTACATTGAAGTCGTCTCCATTCCGCTCCTGGTCCATGGCTAGTCAACAACCGCTTCGTCGGATATGTGTCAATGTGTCTTCCTTGTTATACTCTGACCGTGTTCACTTCACCAATCGCAGTTCTTCAATTGAATATGATCAGACCATGCAACAAGCAACTCATGGGATTTCCGATCAAGTTCGACCTATTATTATTACACGTATTTTTACTAAAACGTACCAACACGTCAATTGCGCGAAAGATATTTTACAGACGGGTCTCGTTTCAATGGATCTACTGGCTTTGGTGTCTTCAATGATAACGCTACCGCCTTCTGCAAACTTCAGGAACCTTGTTCCATTTTCATAGCTGAGCTGGCAGCACTCAACTTCGCATTGCGGTTGATTTTCAACATGCCAGCAGACCATTACTTCATCTTCTCGGATAGTCTCAGTTCGATTGAGGTTATTCGGACGATGAAACCACGTAGGCACTCATCATATTTCCTTTCAAATGTATGCCGATGAGTGTGCTGGTCGAACATTTTGCCAGCTCTCAACTTATAGTGTTCTAGATGCACTGAAAACAAATTTTACTCAGAGAGTGAATCATTTTCACTCATTTGTATGGAGGAATTTCTAAAAGGGTAGGTTAGTCATGCGACAACTGAATAAAAGTAACTCGCTCTTTGAGTTAGTTTCGTTTTCAGTGTGATTCTTCTTCTTCTTCTTCTTCGTCGCATTTTAAACTTATTGCGTGATCCCAACTTAGTGCTCTAGATGCATTTCCACAGTTATTAATTGAGAGTTGATGCCTGTACTATTTTTGCATTAATATAATTGTGTGGCAAGTACAATTATTGTCGTCCAGGGAAGTAGAGAAATTTTCCAACCTGAAAAATTCCTAGACCGGACCGGGAATCGAACCCAGTTGCCTCCAGCATGGTCTTGCTTTATTGCTGCGCCTTTATCGACTGAGCTAGGGGAGGCTCAGTTTTCAGTGTACACTTTCATAGTTATTAATTGAGAACTTTCTATGCCAATCAATGCATGAATTTGTATTATTGTGTGGCAAGCAGAATGATACACTATTGCTCAGAAAAGTCGAGTACATTTCCAACCCAAAATATGTTCTAAGATCGGGCCAGGAATAGATCTCGGCACCTCCGGCTTGGTAATACCGCGGCTTTACCGACTAGGCTATCTAAGGTCCCTTTATAAAGAGCAGTGCTGTAAATTCTCAAAATCATTTGAACATTTTTGATGAAAATGAGAAAAGTAGCTATTCGCTATCAAAGGGGACCTCCTCCGAATGGGTGATATCAGTTGCTTAGTCATTTGACGAAGGCATGGATCATTCTCATTTGAGAAACGCTATATATCATTCGATTGAGTGTAACCTACACACAAACGGAGCTCTGGTCGACATTCCGGCGAAAAAGCTAAGCCAACCCGACACCAACCTGACTTCTATCAAACCCCAACCCGATGTTGACCCGACATTGACCCGACATAAACCCAAAATTGACCCGACATTAACACGACATTGGGTCGACATCGACCTTAAATTAGCCTTACATTGATCCGACATCGGGTCGACTTGTCTGTTCGGGACAATTTTCCTGGATTTCTTCCATACTCCACTGTCGTATATCAAATGATACTGAGTGACTCAATTGACAGTGACAATGAGCTTCGAATGAGAAAGGGGCTCTTCAAATTATGGTCATGTGAGAATTCGTTTACACAGAATTGATTGAATGGTTGTAGTGGTTCATCTTCAATCGAATGATATGAAAATTTACAGCACTGAAAAGAGGCATCTCGTCAAAATTGGAACAATTCAAGCATTAGGTCCTAAGTAACATTGATCGATTCTCTTCATTGACTTTCTCTTTCGTTAATAACTTGTGCATAGAACCGTTTTTTGTTATGTTTGTCGTATAAGATGCTAGATAAAAGCTTATTTTATCGATCTGTGTGCTGAAAATAGCTGGGAATGTTTTTACATGGCCGTGGGGATGCAAAGAGAAAGTTGACGAAGAGAATCTGTCAATGTTACTTAGGACCTAATGCAATGTTCAGCATGAATTGGTTACCTGCCAGTCCTTTATTTAACGTTGGTGTCTGTTCCGCAATCTAATACCAATCACCGACGGACATCGATTGCCATCCATTGACGGCAATCGAATGTGCAGGGAGGCAGCTTCCACACCTGCGCAGGATATCGCATCCACATGATGGGCCGGGACCAACGGCTATACACTTTCCTTCCGAAGGAAGACGTGACCAGAGATTTTTATGTCTCAGAAAAATCTCACCGACCTTGGCTGGGATTGAACCCAGACTCATTGGGGTGAGAAAGCAGTCACGCTTACCACTACACCACCGGTGCCGGCTTTGCCAAAGTCTTGGAACAAGTGATTCTAATCGAGTAGGCAACCTGTCAAATTGATGAGATGTCGTCTCTTAACCCAATTCAGAATCTTTACCTCATGAAAATTTGAGCTAGTTTGAGAAGTTCCATTAAGCCTTTGCTCCTGTAGTTTTGTCGGTGGTTTATTAGCTTTTTAGTGACAAACTCGAACATTCCTGTATTATCGACATTAAGGTCTGAATAGAGATCGCGTGAAAAATGGAATTCACAAAAATTTCACTTCGCAGAACTGTAAACAAATACGATCCAACGAAACCGAATATTGTGAATCGCATTTATTTCACTTGTTATTGTGAATCGCATTTATTTCACTTACGATAACCTTTTTCATGCATACACCTGCTCGTGGAAAGCACAGCAGCTAAGCGAATCCTTGACGTTTCGACAAAACGTGTCTGTCAGTTTTAATTACTTTCACTTTTTTTAGGTGAAAACTGACGGATTTCGCTTCGCATCTGTGAAAAGAGGAAACAAAGAGGTATGCCACAATCCTTCTTTTGCAACCATTTCATGATTTTTCACTTGCTTCAAATTTTACTTCCCTTCTATATTAGGGAAAACAATCTATAGGTATACCGTGCCCCCGCTAATGTAAATAACACTTCGTGCATATTAACGGGGTTCATTTTTAATTTGAACTTCTAGTAACCCTACGAAGCGAGTCTGGTAGTCTTATTTGCTGTTTTGTTTTGATTATGCCTTCCGTTCTCCTTCGTTCCATTTTGTTTTTCTCCATTGCATTTTCTGACGTTTATAACTCGCACACTTGCGTAATCCTATTTTCAAGTGCGAAGTTTGGTATCCTCACTTTCGCTCTGTTGTTTTGTTATTGTTATCCTCACTTTTGGACCACCATCGTGCATATAGAATGGAATTTTTTTTCTTTATTATAGAGATTTTTAGCCATATGGCTAGTTCATCTCTTAAATAGAATGGACTATTCCATGAGCTAAATGTTTAAGTTTGCACGGCGTGCAGATTAGCGGGGTTCGAACTAAGATGTATCCAGATTAAAAACGGTCAGATTACCGGGGGTCCACGAAACAATAGTTTCCTCTATGGTATATAATGCACACCTTACGTTAAATGGCCTGGTCGGTTTTTCGTTGCATTCAGAATAATAATATGTGATTTTATGTGCCAGAATGCTAGTTCAAGTACTATATCAGGCATAAAATTTGATAACGGCACAAAAGCATTTGTAAACAAACTTTCTAAGGCCCTTTACACGCGAACCAAAGTATGCCCACGCAAACCCTTAACATCATCGGATAGGGGCAACTATCACCTTACCGAAAGTGGTATTGGTTTGCGTGGTCGTACTTTGGTTCGCGTGTAAAGGGCCTTAGAAAGTTTGTTTACAAATGCTTTTGTGCCGTTATCAAATGTTATGCCTGATATGCAAGATAGACAATCGGAATGCTATGAAATACAGCGTGCGGCCATTTTACGAATTCTGGAGCAAGCATCAGTAAAAATTAAATTCACGGTGGTAAAATGGCCTACAAGCCTCGTTCCAAGCGTCACGACATTGGCTTTAGGTCTGTTCTCGTACTTGCTTTTGCTTTTGCTGTAGTTGCTTCTGTTTTCTGCACCCCCCGAGTATCTAGACAGAAAATCTTAGTTTCACGTACCCACTTACAAATTGTAGATGTCTCCACCGTACGTAAACAATGGGTTCAGCCATCGTTGGTGGCACAACTTTTTTCACATCAGAAAACATGTTGTTGTTTCACTTCATGTGGACGTCGAAAGCAGGCCAAGAATAGATTTTGAGTGAGACGTATTACTGATGTTGCATTATTTTCCTCATATCTTGGAATTTAATCGATTTGATGAAATCAAAATTCATTATTTGGTCTGGTTTGGTTAATTCCTCGGGGGCATCTGGGACATGCCCGGAACTGACCAATGTGATCCACGGCGCTCGAAATGGCCACAATTGAATTGGTTAACATATTTGAAGTAATTTGTTTTGTAACATGATAGGTTTTATTCCATACCGGTCAAATTTAGTATCATGGCTCACATTCCCCAAAACATGTTCCTGCCACATTTCCAGCACAAGTTGACCGATTCTGAATTTGTTCATTAAAGCTCTATGGACGAGGCTATGGGATCATGATACTTTTCATTTGGTGGTTGTTGCTTGCAATTTGCATTAGTTATTACCAATAAATACGACTTAGCTCCAAAAATGCATGTCTATCGGAAATAGTTGACCGATTCTAAATTTGATCAACATCATTCAATGTGACCATAATACTTTTTGTTAGCTGGTTGCTTCGTTTAGATCGCGAATTTCGCGATTTTCGGGTCTTGTTCCGTCCATATCTCCGAGACCAGTTCTTCGATTGAAAATCTATTAATCAACACCCGCATTAACAATAACCATAAGAAGCGCCTAACCACCAATTTGGATTATCAACTTTATGTGGTATTATTAACTTTATGTGGTATGGTCGTACCATCTATGATATCGTTA